TTTTTTTTTTTTTTTTTGCCTCTTAATCTGCTTTCATCTACCTGTACATTAGCCCTCCCTCCTTGTGTTTTGGCCCTGTTCATCTCACAAGTACTTCGCCTCTTCACCTTCCACATAGCTCTCCACACAGCTCTCCACGTAGCTGGAACCCTCACTTCTCTTTCATTTGAACTCGTCTTCCTCTTTGAACAGTTCCTACTTCACCTCCTGTTCTCCTTTATGTGGTAACTCTGTTCTGCCTAGAAGTAGAGATCAATAGCTTACATTTTAAATTTAAAGTCTCTAAACTAACAACAACGCGGTATAGGCAGGAGCAAAGTGTACCGCTTTAGGTCCAGGTAATGTCATTTTAAGTGTTAAAATTTACTTGACTTAACTTCTCACTTTTTGTGTAAGGAAATATAAACATGAATGATATACTATTTTGCATATTTTATAAAAAGGACAAACCAGTGGACATTTGTGGAAATGTTGTTGAAGCTTTAAGCTCCTGGGTGGGCGTTTCCAACCGCAGCTGTTGGCTGACATCTGAGGGCCTGCTTTTTCGCAGCAGACATTTTGGTATGTTGTAGCAGGAAAAGCATTTCTTGCATGTAATTGATAACTGCTTTCCATTTAGGCGAGCTAGTCCCAGTGTCCTAGTGTTGTGCATACTGGCTCACTGGGAAAAATTTCACAAACGGTGGCTCAGTTCCATCATTAGTGAAATTTGTTCCAACTAGCTACCACTCAGAAAATATACCTGTTTCACAGCTGCCTTTTTTTTACCAAATAGTAGGGTAGACACAGGTGTAACCAGTGCTAATGAAGGTTTTGTTCCGTCCAGGTCGAACCTTAATTAAGGTAAATAATTAATTAGTCATCATTGGTAACACCTGTGTTAACCCCACTATTTCATGTCAAAATGGCTGCTGTGAAAAAGGTCTATGGTAGCTATGTAGCTGTGATTACCACTAGACGTCACCTGCTGAGTCATCAACAGCTCCTTCAGTGTTGTGATTGTCCCATAGTTTATAAAGGAGGAGCAGTAGCTATTGTTTCTTTCATGGGTCCAGTTGTGGAGACGGCCGATGACCGGACTGTATCCTCATTACGCCGCAAGTAACCTTGTTATTTGAGTCACGACAAATATCAATATAAAAGCAGATAGGACTAAGTAGTGCTTAACAAGTAACAATGTCAGCCCCAAACTGGTTAACTGCCTCTGGACCTGAAGTGAATACCCAAGCCAGATATAACCCCAGTGAAACTGCCAGTACTGACATCATCACGCCCCCTGGATGACACTAATGTAGGGGACACAGAAAATTACATTTATTAATTTTGGTAATTTACATAAGTCAAAGCAAACACCAAGGAGATTCTGATTTCTTAGGAAAAAATCATATTTTTCAGTTTGACTTTAACTTTTAGGGGGAAAAAAATGTAAAAGATGTTACTGCTCTTGTGTTAGACCTAAGATAAAGTGCACTGCAACATGGTGTGTCAGTTTACCTTAGGCCTAACACAAGAGCAGTAACATTTTAGATGTTATTAATGTTCACTGAGACACAGAGTGAGTGCTCCAGGTGTGTTTTCCTGCAGCTACGTGTGTGTAATGATGCACCTCCCCGCTCTATCGATTAGCCCTCCCAGTGTTTAAATACTTTGTTTCCTGTGTGTGAATGAAACGCTTTGTTAAGCACATGCACACTGTGTTTGTTCTGGCCCGCTCTGCTTCGGCTCCTCTTCTTCTTTCTCCTCTCTGTATCATCTGTTTTCTTTCTCTCTTCCCTACACCTTTGTCAGCACTCGCCGTTTCCCTTTGTAGTTTCTGTTTTTACTTCTCCTTCCGCTGTCATTCTTCCCACTTTTTAAAAGTTTTGGTCTCTTTCTCTTCTCCTTTGTTGTTGTTTGACATTTTAAATATTCACCTTTTTGTTCACTTTTTCCATACTCCCTTTTTACCTCCGTTGACTGCCTCTTCCTGACCCTCTATCTCCCCGTTCCCTCTCGTTCCTGCTCTCTAGGATGGAGAATAGGTATTCTCCTTAATTGCTTCATCTCACCCCCTCTTCTCCGTTTGTATTTGTTTTTGTGTATTTTTCTTGCTCTCGTCCCATCACTCAGTCATTTCCCTGCAACGCTAATCTGTTGTAGCTGTGTAATTATGGCTGTTAATGTGTTCCAGGATTAGAAAGCCAGGATATGTGTGTGTGTTGTAGAGCGGTCCAGTCCCTAATCCTCCCTCCCAGTGCTGCAAATCATGTTTTTAAATTGTCACAGAGACAGCTCGCTTTCTCTCCGTCTCCCTCTCCCTCTTCCCCTCCCCCCCAGCTGCTTCATCCTACTGAGAAAGTATGCTGCTTGTATTAAAAACATTTTTTAATCTCGTGTGCTCCTGCGTACATCCACTGTAGCTAACTGACTCTTATCAGCTGCTGCTTTGTGAGGAGTTCCCACAGGGGTGCTTAAGAGGAGCTAACTCTTGGAATAGACATTAAAGCTACGTTTTAGTGAGGGGATCCTTGAGGTTTAGTCTTAAGTTGCGTTTCAGAGAGGATTTATTTAGCGTTTTAGTTGCACTGATTTATAGTTTTAGTTTCACATTGATCACAGCCTAATTATTAGTTTTCTTTTACCCCTTTGTGTTACCCAGTATGGAACCAAAGGGGGTTAAACGAGACAAGTGGAAGGTAGTAAGAGGGTGCTGATATATTTGTATGTAGGATACACCAGACTTTTGTTATACTACTGCGTAGAAAAGTCTCTCCCAAATATTGAAAGGTATGCCTTGTTACCACAACTTGCAGACAATATACATGTATAGCTTATAAGTCAGCTGAGACAGAGCACAATGGAATAAACTCTAAAAAGAAATGGAATTTGATTCGGTTTAATATAGCCAGTAACAATCTACTGAAGCATGCCTTGACATTTGGCTCCAATGCAAACATTCAGAGGGGTTCAGGAGACCACTTTAATATACAGAATGCTAAGCTGAAGGTTGAAGGTCTACTGTTGAAGTGTGAAATGTCTTTATAGATAACTCAGTCATTAGCCTGTCACTCAGCAAGTGTGTGATTATTAGGTTAATTGTCATTCACCTCACTCAGTAAATCAAGGAACCAAGTGCACCATGATCTGTAATTATTTGTTATAAAACCAAGAAGCTAAAGCATCTTGGTGACAGCTATAATATGGAGCTATTACTGTTGATACTTGAACATGGAGGCCGAGCAGAAATAGTGGTAGGGGGAAAAGGAGGATGAGTAGTATCAAATAATAAATTAAACAATAATACACAAGG